TTTTTAAGGGCGGAAAAATTCAGGGAACAAATCCTCCGGGAGGGATTTTAAGCCGTGGGTCCCGTGTCGTAGCTTTACGGCACGTAAAAGAACCTCATATATCCAAAGGAGGTCACTGAGCCAAATTACGGACGTTTCCCGCCCAACAGCAGTCTCTAATACCTCTGGTAGATGGGGGAAGCATTATAGATCCCTCAGCTAGTAGAGCCGGTCTCGCTGGCTGGGCGGGACTGATTGTAAGCACCAGTACCGGTAGGATATAGAGACTGGTAGAAATCACAGAGGGAAGCACAATGGACCAATACAGGTCTCAGTGCATGGGGAAACCCACCCTCTCCAATAACTAACCAAGTGGTTACCTTCACATCTTAGTTGCGCCACAGAAGGAAGCTATTTGGGCTCCAGAGCAAGTCTATACATAATGATACAAAGAAACTTTTTCAGCATTCCTGCCAGTAGACAAGTCTGAGCTACCCAGTTTATACTCTACTGACTGAGCTTCTATTTATCTTTAAAAATTCAGTTTAGAAAAAAAAAATAACCCTAACAAATAACTTCAGAACAGACCCATACCATTTTCCACTGTGGCAGTGAAGTATAATATAGTGATACAGAATACATATTAAAAAGGCATGGCACCATAATAAGGGTGAGCATGCACACGCACACATGTACGTGCACACGCATGCACGTGCACATATACACACACACACACACACACACACCCTCACCCATGTGCATTATTAAAAAATTATTTATGAAGTGCAAAAATACTCAGTCATAACCATTACATGTATTGGAACCTTACAGACAAGTACATAATATGTGATTCGTGGTTCCCATGGCGGTGTTTTCTGGTGTGAGGCGGTACAGTCTGCTAGATAGCTACCAACATTTTGGAGAACCGTATATCTTCGGTAAATGAGAGTAAGCAAAGCTCTGGAGAATGTATGGTACAAATATGGTGACAGCGAGGAACAAAACTGGAAATTGTGCAAACAGATTGAGCAACGACAACAGTGCAATGAATACTGGCCCTTCTAAGGGCCACTGTGTCCTTACTCTGTGTCTCCTGACTTCCCTATACCTGCCGCTGCTTCGCTCAGAACCATTCCTTCTCCCACTCACTCTGCCCTTACAAAATGCACTTTAAGGGGCCAGCACTCTCTAGCCTGTTGCCCCTGCTCCTACGAGTTCACTCGCAGCCCTGCTCTTGGTGTTCTCCCCTTCCCTGTATGCATGTCATTTTCTTCACATTCAACTTAATATTCCACCACAAAGACAGAGGCAGAAATTTCCTCCAAAATTATGGTAATCATCTACCAGACTACATAGCACCACATTACAGAAAGCAGTGATCTTAAAGTACAAAATACTTTAAAGAACAAATTACTTTCAACTACATTACATTTTGCAAACAGCTCAGTAATGAATAAGAGGAAATGTACATCATCGTTATATAATCAGATGAAATAATACATAATTTGTATTCATTACTGAGCTATGATCTGAATTAAAATTTCCTAGCAAACAGCAAGATAAATTTTCATCAAAATTTCCTTGACAATGTGACTTAATTAAATGACAGTAATTATCACTTAACAGAATTTCCCCACAACACTTTTCCATGCCATTTAAAATCACATAGCCTGACACTACCAGACCAGTCAATTCAAACCCCCCTTTATGCAATATACACTCCAAGTCATAAAATATTATATACAAGAAAATTGTCAGAGCTGTTGGAAAGCTAACTCATCTCAAAATTATAGTAATTCTTTGTTGTTGAGAGTATTTCATTTAAGCTTAGTTTATTATTTTCTTTTCTTTGCAACATCCTAACACATTAAGTGCTGTGGGAACATTTAATTTTACCCTTTTGCTGTGTTAGGCATGGCAAGTGTGAGACATGTCACATCACAACACACACTGCAGTATTATTTGCTTCCATTTTTAAAACATTAAGCCTAAATTTTGCAGCAATATTTAGAACAACACATATCTATTCCTCCTGGAATTAGTGAAAAAACTGGACTAAATTAATACTACTAGAATCAAATAAAGTTTCTTTCCAACTTTTTAGGTTAACAATCTGGTAACTGGGGAAAGAACTATAATGTACATCACAAAAGAATACAAAGAAGAAAAATAAAGTCTGGGACTGTTAACAAGTAGACACCAGTAACATATCTTCTCTAAAATGCCAAGCACATCTAAGTGAGTTATTAAATTCTGTTCCAAGGGAAATCCTGAAAACATTCAAATCTGGTTGAATTCACTGCTTTCAGATTTACACTAAGCCAAGTTCAGAACTCTTAATACTTTCACACTACCAATGTCAGGACAAGGCCCTGAGAAATTCTTTCAATGTCCAATTAAAAAAAATCACTAGCATCTTGATATAAGAAGACCATCAGTTAAAAGTTTATTTATGTCAGTTATGCACGTACCTAATTGTAAGGCACTTGCCAGGATTTTATTAAAAATTGTAAGAATTATTTATACCCATTTACATTCTTAACTTCTGAGCTTACAGCTTATCCTTGTTCTTATTTTCTGTATTGAACAGACACCCAAACAAAAAGTTTATTTTTATACGATCAGGGAAACATGTGTTTCTTCCTCAAATATGTAATTTTCACTTAACTTCTTTGGAATTAACATATCACCAGACAGTAAAATTAAGTGTTCTGTTGGAGGAAAACCAACCTCAATATGTAACACATTTTATATTGCATGTGTGTACCATAAATTAACAATCTGGATAAAAACAGAATCACTAGCACAGACAAGCGGGCAGCACCTCCCAATGCAGCCAGGCTCTTGTTCTCATTATACCTGCTTAGTGACACAATGCAATGAAACTTAAGGGCAGGGTGATGAAGACAAGTTAAGGATAGACAAGGCAGAGATAAAAACACTGCAAGACTCAGCTGGATATGCATGATTAGTCAAGGAAACTAAATGTTGAAATACAAGACATATTTAAATTCTATAACGAAGCTGAAGAAAAGAAACGGAAGGACAACATACATAGAAAGGGTGCATACAGGCTGCCAATGGTGGTTCAGAATTACTGTGGAGGCCTACAGGGGAAGGAGTACAGAGGAAAAACAATAAGACTGTGGTAAGATGATTTTCCAATTGCTATAGCTGCATAATCTGTACAGAAAGGGAAAATAAAACACAGCACAAACCTTTCCAACCTATACAATGGACTAGCAAGAATGGGACCACCTCCTGGGCTACTACATTATCAAACAGGGAAGGTCTGCATACCATGATCACCTGGGAAACTATGTTAATGGTGGCACAAATCTCTATTAGGACCAGCCCTGCTAGAAAGGGCAAAGGGTAGGGCCCAGACCAAAGGTACACCCTGTCCTACAGGTTATGTAGCAGGTCTGAAGCTGACAACCTCACCGCATAAACCCATACATATTTGGAAACCTAACAAAGGAGGCCAAGTGGATAATTTACAGAAACGGCCAAAAAGAGGTTATAAAGTGAAGATATGGGAGTAAGAGAAAACCAGAAAATGACAAGCACATATCGTAAAGGTGGCCAAGGTTCTTAGAGGACATAAGCAAGAATGGATCAGGAGAAGAGTTTGGGCGGGGCGGGGGGGAGACAGCACAATCTTGTGCCATTGCTTCTATTACAATTATTTAAATATCAACTTACATAAAATAACTTTAAAAATTTAGAAAGAGCAATTATTTTTACAAGGAACAAAACTAATAACCAATAACATTCTTAAATCCTTGCTCTTTACTATAATATAAATATATGCTTTGTCTGTGTCGCTGTATATCAAAATATACATAATAGTACATGTCACATTTACATTTGTAGCAGTGACTGACAACTTCATTGCAAACCTAAACATAAGTTACAGATAACACAGTCTTAACTTGTGCCACAAGCTGCAGCATGTGAAACTGTATCGCAATAGGACATCTGGCTGAGGCGCAACTAGCACAACCCTATCTGCGTCAAAACTCTGCACAACTTGGTTTTCAAGAGCTCTTGCATCAGACATGTCCAACTGTTTGCCTCTCAACACAATGGCATCTGAGAAGGGAGTTTAGTTTATGACATGAATTAGGAATGTAAAAACAGACGGAAATATGTTAGGAAAAGTATGCAGAGCACACAATTCTGGCTTTCTCACTTCATTATGGACTCCAGATGAGCAACCCTTCCAGCCACACCATCTAGTTCTTCATGACAACTTACATTGCCTAAAAAATAATGAAAGTGATGGACGTGTATCTTATAATTTGTTTCTGTTTTACCATCCACCATGCAACAATGTTAAGATTTAAAATTAAATCGTTCTTAAAATCTGTGACTCCACTACATGTTTTTGTCTACTAGGCCATCAGGAAACACACTGATATTTGGGGAGGGGGGACTGCTTTGCCTTCCGTGCTACTGTGATTGGTGTTTTCGTATTTATAATGTTTCTACGTGAAGCTGACATACTTCCTCCTTCTACGCCACAGGTACCGCTTTCATGCCTGTTGTCTATCAAGTGTGCAGTGTGGATCTTATAACAACATTAACATGTACATATTTTAGAGTTCTTACCATCAAAATAAACTTCAACCAACTCCAATTAAACTTAATTTCATATTAAAATTATAACCAGCAATCCAACAACACAATACTGGCCATAAAATATGCATACATTTGTAAGTAATGTATACACATGTACATTTCATCACTTACTGCTGTCCAATTATATCAAAACTTAGAGTGGGCTAACAAATTCTAGTACGGTAAAGCTATCCCTGTAACAGGCCGTGAGGGCCCATAAAATTGTGAGACGTTGAGGTTCTCACATTTTCCAGACAATCGGCTCGCAGATGGCAGTGAGGCTGTTAGCCTTAAGCACCAGTTGCCCTTTACCTCCATGAATATTTCTGATACTCATTTCTGTTAGAGGCTGAGTTGACCCCTGGGCCATAGTGTGGCTGGAAGGATTAGGTCAACTGAAAAAATCCAGTGATCTCATCGGGAATCAAAACAACGACCTTGCAGCTTGTAGCATAGTGCCTCAACCAATTACACTATTGCATGCCCCCAAATTCTAGTTAAGACTCCCAAAAATCTAATTTCATGTAAATCAGCTCACCGGCTGGTACATGCAGACAGGCAGTCACAATGACAATATTCACAACTTTCAGTGTGAATGCACCACAAAGGTCATACTTGTTTATTTCAAACATGTTGGCATATGGACCATGTCTAAAACAGAGATGGATGATTAATTTTATTTATGGTCTTTTAATGGGATCATCGGCTGCTCACAGAACCAAACAAGGAGGGTGGTTAAATAAGTGATATAAAAATAGCATTGATAATAATAAGAGAGTACCTGTTCATCCCTGTTCTCAAAGCTACAGAATTCATCTCCCTAAGGATCTATGTATCACATAATGATCAGCTGAGGATGTGCTGTGACCTAGGTACAGATTTCCGAAGCCACATGCACAAGAAAGTCGCCTTCATATGGGATATGGCTGACTTCCATGTGAAGTTACTAACACCAACAAAACCCATCAGAACTGATGATGTAGCTAAGAATATCTCTCATAGATGGCAGCATCAGTTAATAGCCTGGGTGCTATTTGTTCACCAAAAAGTAATGATAATTCTAACACCCATGCATCACGTATTCACAAGCTGTGAGGTTCACAGTGTTCATCTCAAACACACTTCTCCAGCCCAGCAGCGTGCTCAGAAAAGAAGGTTAAATAAGCGGCTATGTCAGTTGCATCAATCCCAGTCTCAAACAGGACCATCATTTTGGAATGAATGTGGACTTGGGTACCAGATGCAAAACAGATGCACTACGGTAATCCACCCACTTCTCTTCATTTTCAAGATAAATAAATTTTTAAGTAAACACAGAGAATGACCAATGGCAAGGCTCTTGAGTACCAAGTGCTACTCTATATTAATCGATCAATCATCTTGCATACTGACTGGCCACTTACGATTAAGTTTTCTTTACATGGTTTCATGTACATTTCCTTTTTAAAACAAAAACATACCCAGAATTCCCTTACATCATCCAAACCCACTACAACATGTAACAAAATGTACAAATGTACACTACAGAAATACCTCTTACGAACATTACGATACATCCCATTCTTTCATTGGATTCAATCATGTTAAAATGTACAAGCAGTCCAAGATCAAATAAAATTTAGGAATTTTTACTGTCCTTTAAGCAGCCCATGCCTGCATCTGCTGCTTTTTGATCGATTACTCACGTCCGACTAACACTGTGTCCTATGAGTCCAGTTTTGCTAGTTCTGCAGTGTAGATTCCAATGCTCTCCATATCAAAGAGTACAAAGTAGATCTGTTTGAGCGAAGATGACATCACATTTACGAAGTAGTTGCTGATGGCTTTCAGGATTGTTTGGGCAGCCTGCTGCTTTGGAAAGCCAGCCCTACCACAAGGAAGACATGGCAATTAGTTATTAAAAGCTGTTGTTTCAACTGCTGAGGTTATACAATCATAAAAATAAGACGAGTAAAATATCATGAATGATGTATATATATATATATATATAAAGACTAAGACCGGGCACCATGGACAAGTGAGTACTTCTCTTGTTGTATTCTGCACCTCCTAGGTTAACATCTTAGTCTGGAGACTAGCTATCCTGACAGGATTTTCAAGGTTTTCTAAGTCCCTCCAGGAAAATTCCATAACAGTACACCAGATTAGGCCAAGACTGATTTTTTGCACATCTTCTGCAATTCGTTCTTCAGTAACCATCCCACCATTCGGTGCTACACAGACTGAGCTGCTCAAGCTGCTCTACATAAACCATAAATAAATATACAGATCTGTACAACAAGCATAGCCTACTTTAAGATACTACCCTAGCATCTGCCTGGAGAGGCTGAGGAAAACCATAAAACATTTGTTGAGACAAATCTGTTGTTGCTAGGATGCAAAAAAATTAGCTTCTGAATAAACAGTCATGAGTATTTCAAACTTCAAAGGCAGCCTGGAGCTTCCAGCTGTAAACCTGATCACATGTCATGCTGTGGTGGAAAGGTAACCACTTGACATGGTCCCATGCTCTCCGGAGAAACATTATTGTTATTATTATTATTACTTATTTATTTAATATGCACATTTGATTTTACCCAGTGGCAGTGACACAACAGACAAATAACATGCGTAACACAAAATACCACATCACATTCAAACAACACACAGCACACAAAACTACGCAAACAATAAAGGACACACCACACACAATGAATACAATTAAATGAGCACTTCACTGCACTGCTTAAAGAGTGCAATCATAGCAATGGATGCTGGAACATACCTTCCACTGCCTATAGCAGGTATGGCTAACGATTTCAGATTCTTCTGATCAGCCAGTGTGAGGCAGTTTTTCATTGTCTTCTCTAACTTCTCTGTCGCATCAACTTCATTCCATGAAGGTCCATTCACATGAATAACCCACTTCGCCGGGAAATTGTGACCAGAACATACTGCCGCTGTAATCAAATACAAGAAACCCAATGTATAAAAGTAATGCAGTGCAGAGAAATGCAAACTGCATTACTTTTAAACTCTAACCCCTTTACGCGTAACATCAAGTTAACACTCAACGCAGAAGAAAAACAGACTGGTGAACAGCACCGAGGTAGACTCGTCTTTGACTTAAAAAATTATGATGTAATTCAAAATATACTGCATCAACCGCAGCATCAATCAAACTCTGGGTCACTTTAAAAAGTGTGAACAGAACAAAAGTTTACTGTAAAATGAAAAGCATTCTAATGCCCCTGCAGAAATTGTGCATCCATCTTTAGTGCAGTTCTTCGGCCCAGCACTGGGCTCAGCAAAGAAAGCTACTTGCATTTAATTAGCTCAGATTTTGACTTAAACATGGTTTCAATCTTCGAAAAAGTTCCATAAACTGTGCTTATCATACAGTACCAAATCGATTTTGGGTTTCATGCCGAGTACAATACTGAAAGTAAACAACGGAATACAGTCTGAGCTACCGACATCATTAAATAAACTGAAAATATGATAATAAGAAAATTAATTTAAAATTGTAGCATTCATATTTCTTATGCAGTCATCTGGATACTGCCCTTTCACAAGCAGATCTTCCAAAGCTCCTGTGGACTATTTTACATGGCAGGAGGTCTGCATGCCCTGAAGCTCCCAGCATGAGGCTAACAACCTCACCTCATAAAACAATACATGTTGAGAAACCAAATGATGGCTGCTGCATGGATAAACTCAGGAAGCAATTCAGGGAGATTACAGGGACACTGAGCTATGACTTGCTGCTTGGGGTGTCCTCAGCTTACATAAGACAGAAGCATTAAGGTAAGTACAATTGGAAGGTAAAGTAAGCCAAAAGGTAAAAGAACATGAAGACCCATATTAAAGAGGATGGCAGATACAGAGAATGATACATGAGAGTTGTGGAGGATTGTTGCCATTCATAACAGAGGCAGCTAACATTCCTAGAAGCCTCCAGTGCCAAGGTACAAGCAAGTACTTAAGAAACAAATGATAATCTTTATCATTTAAACCTAGCAAAATTACAGAGACTACCAACACACTGCGGAACCTAACATCAGGTAACAGGAGTTATTCTGGGGGTCTTTTCATTGTCTCATTAGATTTTAAATTTGTTACCTGTAATCAGAAACCTCTAACACCAAACTTGTAAGCTTACAATTAAACAGTAACACGCAGGATCACAATTCACACTCACTGATCCCTTGCATTAGCAGCCAACGCTGCCTGGTTCAATACACAAATTGCAAGTTTGCACAGTTTTACACTTCTTTCTGCTATGTGGGTGATTCGCCTGACAAATATTTCTGTTGCTGGACATACTGGTATGTACTCTGACTGTCGCAAGCTTGCAAGTTGCTCTTTGATGATTGGGGTTGAAATCAGACAATAATGTTAAGATCTTCTACCCAATATGGGGTCTGGTACATCATATGCAGGTGGGACCAGGGATCTTTAAATTTCAAGACAGCTATAACGACAACTAGTAACCTTAAAATGGAAGCAGCCACAGGATAAGTCCCAAAACTCTAAAAATACTCAGACAAAGGGTAATGCATGCTTGCACAAATTTATTATAAATCTAGGAGCCAGAACTAAAAACAAAACATCTCAGGCGCTAAATATACTTGTTCTTACTAATAAAAAGAACAAGGGAAACCTCTACACATAACTAATAGTGAGTTCCTTTCATGGTGGGAAGAAAAGCCCAGTGCACTGCTGCCATGGTGCAGGGAGAGGATTGATAAGAGAATGGACAAATAAAACAGAGAAATGGGAAATGGGGAAAGGAAATAAAGGCACACAATAAACATAGGAAAGAAAGAAAGAAAGAAAGAAAGAAAGAAAGAAAGAAAGAAAGAAAGAAAGAAATTATTTTGTATGTCATCTTTAACAAGCCATGTAATAAAATGAGAATGACTTCTAAGAGTTATTATGAAAATTGTATGTGCTTGGGATCTGTGCAAGCCTGTGGTATAGTGTTCACTCTACCTGTGGTGGAATCGAGGGAACCCTGGGAGGAGCGCAGGTCATGCACTTCTTCCAGGAACTCCTTGCCTCCCCTCTTCTCTAGGGCCTGCCCCACCTCACCCATCATTGCAATGCTGGTATTCGTTGGGTGAACCAGTGCATCTGCCGTAATGTTAGTGATATCCCCTTGTACCACAGTGAGCTGTAATTGAATTAGGTTCATTTTAAAAAATATCACCCTACACATGCTTACGCTAACATGGATCTTAAACTCGATGGAAGGATGTGAAGTCAGTTTGGATAAGGACAGGGCCCAATGGCTGATTCTTGAACACAATGACAAACCTCTGGGATCCAAAACCTCACCTTCTGTCCAAGGAACAGTTTCTTTTCAGACAGTACTGTAACCCCAGTTCCAGCTGTGGTACTGTTAGCGCTCGTCTCCTTCGTCTTGCCTTTTCCTTTGCCAGGTTTCGCTGTAAGAATATGTTTTACTTATCAACAGTAAGTCAGACCACGCAGCATCAAATGACGACAATTAAAGAACAATGAAGTGGACAGAATATGGAAGGAAGCAGTTGTAACCTCAGTTGGGTTACTATCCTGGAACATGCCTGGACGGGGCTAGAGAAAACAAATAAAAAGAACCCTGTTAGGATAATTGGTGTCCTGGCTGACACTCAAACCAGGCACCACCCAAACACAAGCCAATTTACTCAGTTACATTTACAATAACAAACACCAGTCAACAGTTATAATCAAAACAGAATCAGTAACACAATCCTTATTAATTAAATGGATGAACTGAGAAGGAGAGGGAAATAGCATGACTGGAATTATGAGAGAACAACTTCTGGAGGAGTTGTGTGACATGTTCACTGTCAGATTTCTCAGCAACTCCCTTATAAAGCTCCCTCAGCACATTAAGATGTAACCCTAGAGATTCACAACACAACTAATGACATCTGCATCACACATAGGCTACAACGAGGATTTTGCTGGCCAAAATAAAATTCTCCTACACCTCTGCTATGCATCGCTGATTACACAGCAGAACAGTATGAAAATTAATATTTTATATTTACAGTTTATGGTGGAACCGCCATTTAATATTTCTAGAGATCAACTTCCCCTTCTTTTAATATTTGACTTCAAGGAACCTATGTCAATGATCTCAATGATAATTTCCTCCACTCAATATTGTCCTCAGTTTAATGTTCAAATCCACTGCTCTCCAAAAAAACCTTAAATTGGGGGGGGGGGTTAGAACTTCTAACCATGCTGTCAGTTGCTCAGATTATAATTCTCTGAATTATGGGATGAGAAATTAATAATTGACAAAGACGTGTAAGGTGGCGGTTGTGGCATAATTTGAATAGGACTGAGAAAAAGCATGAAAAACCTCAGGCAAGATAAAGGATCTCCAGGTTGGCATTTAGACCTGGTGACTCCTGAACAGGAAGCAAGCATGTTACCTATTCATGACCAGATAAACAGAAAGCAAAGTGATTCTAACCACACACTGCAATGTCTTCAGGAGAAAATTTGTGTTATCTGTTGATACAGTTTCAATGCTAGAAACTCACAACCTAGTTGACAGATGTCAGAATCTGTGCCTGTAATTATCTCTGCGATCGTTCCTGAGGAGAGGCATAGGAAGTTGTTTTAAATTACATGGCCAGCTTCACTGTTATGTGAGGGGCATAAGACCCAGACACAAAGATTTGTGTGACTGCTGTGAAGGGGTTAAAACTGATAATGTGTAATGGGTGTAAAATGCAATAAACAAAGACGAGATGCGAAGGATAAAAAAGAAAGTTCTGTGGTATAAACACAGAGAAAGAATGGGGAAATAGAGACGGCCAGTAAAACTAATTCACTTGATAAAAACTGAACAAGGAAAGTAAAAATATCTGTTAAAAGGGAATTTATAAAATGACGGAGAAAAGCAATCTGTGGGAGTAACTAGGAGACCCAGAAACTTATGAAAATGTGAAAAGCCGAAGAAGAAATAAAGGCACTATAAAGCTGACATTAGCCATATTTTATAAAGACATATTAAGCGATCAGAAATAGATTGGGCCACAAAAGTGGAAGGTCACCTCCAGATGGGCTGGATGCTTTCTTAGCACGGATACCGCTTGATGCTGGTACAGGTGGTGATGGTTTCTTGTGGTGTGATATGGGCTTTGTAGCGATGGGCTTCTTATAAGGAACTGTAAGTGGCATGTTGTTGCCCATCACAAACTTCCCACCCTTCTTCTTTGCCAGCAGCTCTGGGTGTATCTTGGGTAGAACACCTCCTGATGCTATTGTCACATTCTTCAGTAACTAGAACAAAAAGAAATAAATATTGACCTCTAATCATTACTGCTGCTGTGTTATACTACTGCAATGGTGCATGCACGAGGTCGGCCTGGCTGAGCATTACATTCTTTCAATATTAATTCTTTAAAGAATGAATTCCTTCTAAACAACATATAAACATTCAGTCTGTACCTCGCAGGAAACATATGATGTCTCCGCTATAAAGACCAACCAATCTTCCTGTTATTACCTTCCTGGGGAAAAAGGGTGGTGGGTGCATAAGGCTCACAAACTCATGGCCATCTGTGAGGCAACTGTCCATAAGATGTGAGAGCCTCAACACCTCACAATCCTATGAGCTTTCATGGCCTGTTACAGGGATGTATAATATGTGCCCAGCATAAGAAAATAAAAGAAAATACATACAATATTTTGGTTTGAAACCCTCAAGGGAGAAGCTCATCTGGATAAACTCAGCAATACAATATCCACTTCCTTCCATCAAAACTGCTTTAAAATCTGCTAATTTTCTCCTTGGCTTCAGTGAATTTAACCCTTGCATTGTTACCAAACAGTCTGGCAGCTCTACCTGGGTGACTGGGAGCCAGAGATCAGAGACAGGGCCTGTTTGATCCCCACCTCAAGGAATACAGAATACCGGAATCAGTTGTCTATAAGGCATACAGCGGTGTCGTTTGTTAAACGATGTTAGTTCTATTATTAGAATCATCATTGTATTATCTTAGTATATTACTATTTTTCTTATTTATTATTGTAAAGGATTTGAGTTGTCCTATATCATGTATAATGATCCATGGATATGTAGTGAATAAATAAACAAATAAATAATACTAGCCAAGCATGGAACTTTTAAGATAGTGAGGCCAGAAACACTATCTTTGGATTTAAATGACAACAAACACAAAGCAGGGCCCGAAATATCCATCATAAATCCAATTTATGTACCTGAGATTTCATACGAATTTATTATTCGGAAAAGTAATTTGGAGACTGAAGCTTGAAGAATTATCTGTATCTAATACTGAAGTCAAGAATACATTTGGCGTGTATTTAACACTACTTGCTCACCTGCATGTATTACGAGTATATAGCATCAATGACAGAATAATAATGAATTCCATAAAAGAAGTTACTGTGGCTTGAGGGATTAGAGATTATTGTCTTCTGGGCCATGATGCTAGATGTGGTACATCATTATCGTTGTTTCGGAGGAATGTCCTGCCTCCATCATCAGGACAGACAAGTAATGTTCATCCAAAACACTGGTAACAGTGCATAACTTCCCAAGCATGAAAAACCTCGGCAGCCGGCCTCTGAACCAAGAACCAAACCCAGGACCTCCCTATATATGAAGGATATTAACCACTAACTATGACATCCAGTGCAAGATGCATAAAACATTATAAACTGAACCAAGTGTAGGGAGCTAGTAAAATATAAAAAAGTAAAAAGTAAAGCTATCCCTGTAACAGGCCATGAAGGCCCACAGGGCTGTGAGATGTTGAGGGTTCCACATTATCTAGACAATCGGCTCAAAGATGGCGGTAAGGTTGTCAGCCTTACGCGCCGGCCGCGCTTTACTCCCCAGGAAAATTATTTAAGTCCTGGTACTCATTTCTGTTAGAGGCTGAGTCAACCCCATGGTCATAGTGCAGCTGGAAGGATTAGGTCAATTGAAAAAAATCCAATGACCTCATCGGGACTTGAACCTGCGACTTTCCGGCTTGTAGCATAGTGCCTCAACCAACTACGCTACTGTGTGCCCCAGTAAAATATAACTATAATAAATTAAAACTGTGACAAATCTAATGGAACAAATTTTCTGTTACCAAGTGTAATTCCTCATCATTTGCAACAGCCAGCAGAATATGTCTTGGTGTTATTCTTCCTTTTCTGTTGTCCCTTGCTGCATTTCCTGCCAACTCCAAAACTTCAGCTAAAAAAAATGAAATAAATTTCTATAAAAGAAAACTTGTTTTAAAATATTACTTGACATGCGTGCTGTCAACAGTTGAAATTATAAAATCATTAAAATTATCCGACACGTAATTTGGAATACACTTATAAACGTGCTCAAATTATTGTCAATTAAAAAAGTAACTGAAGTTCTGAAATTGTTTCTATGCGCATGTCACTTATCTCAATATACTTTTTCATATTTATTTAACACCAATTTTCTCTGACTGGCTCGTCATACCCGTAAGATACTCTATGACGGCTGCCATGTACACGGGAGAGCCGACACCAATACGCAAGCGGTGTGTCCCCATCTTCAGATACCGGTGCAGCCTCCCCACAGGAAATGTCACATTAGCTCTCTGCGACTTCGACATTGCTTTCTGGCGTTTCTTTCCTCCTCTTGCGGACATGTTTATCTATATTTTTATCTTTAAATTTACAATAAAAACCGCACCTACTCAAAATAATGTAAACACAATTATTCTACAATACCGTTGAATGCCTCGAACGAAGATAATCTTCGTCAACTAACCTATAACACCTACTATAGTCCATCGATAGATGCCCTCACCTTCATCGTGTCAAAACCTGAATTGAATTATAACAAGACCCTGTTATTCGTTTCAGTTTAAGCAGAGCATTAACAATTTCAAACTCTCATTATATTTGGCAGATTGTCGTAGGCCACAAATGATAGAAGGGAGGGCTGTAACAGATAGCAGCAAATTTAAAGAAAAGTTGAACTGCAAGACGACAGATGCGTGATATTACTGAGAACTAAGAAAATAATGACCCAACGTGAGCATCGAGAATTTAAGTAGAAGAAATTTTCAGGATATTGCATGGGAGAGTCATGTTGTATTGGATATACATGTATTATGACTAGATCTGTCAACATAGAACAATATACAATATCAACCGCATGAAAATGTATAAGTGGCTTTATATATTGTGCTCTGTCGACCAGCATACTCATTAAGCTCATTAAGTTTGAAAACTGTTTAATAGCAGGGACCACTTATATACGTAGATCTTAAATTGCCTTCAGGAGTAAACTCGGAAATTATGCTATTAACAAAAAAAAATACGCAATCACGTGAAATTTGGTGCGGGGCATAAAAACGGAAAATTTTTCGAATTGCATTGAAAGACAGCAAGATTCGGGATAGCAGTCGATATGGCGATGGACTGCGAGCTTGAAAGTCCGGGGTTCGATTCCTTGCAGCTTAAAAATTTCCTCTTCTCCACAGTGTCCAGACCGACTCTCGGGCCTACGCAGCATCCTGTCTAATGGGTACCGGAGCTCTATCCCCGAGGCTAAAGGTTCAGGGGTCTTTTTATTGTAGATGGTTACCAGCCACCATCGAATTTTTTATCGAAAAAGAAGCTACGTGTCCTACTATCCTGTACAGGTTCACAAATTCCGAACAAATTATTTCTATCTGTTGCGTGCCATCTGGCGGAGAACTTACCAAGTATGGATTCCGTATATTGGTCCATACAATATTCAATTTAATCAATCACGGTCAACGTAGTACTTAAAACGTATCACAGATGGCAGAATATTATAAGAATGCGGATCGCCGAGAGTCGCCTTTTATCGCTTGCTTACAAATAGATGACAGCACTATCATAACTGAGATTCCCGACATCTGGTGGATGTCTTCGTAGTCATCGTATTACTTTCACGTACTGTGGCCAGTTTTTGGCGGTTTGTATGTAAAATAGAAATTGGGTTATGCAAAAAGAGAAGTGTAACACGTTTTCATAGCTAAGTAAATATTATTTTAACGTTTACGTTTGATTCAAGGTGTCATCATACCTTTGATCTGGAGCTGGTAAGTAGAAATGTTGTTGATATATTGATTTTTGGTGAATTTTCACATGCTCTCATTAATACAGAAAATGGATTTGTAAGTTCTCAGCCCGCCTCGAAATAAACACACCTCTTCCCTTTTATTAATATTGATCGTTTTGAGGAAGCTCAAGAGTATATTTAAATTATATATTGTGAATCAAAGAAATTATCTTCATGCACTTAATGGCAGGTTTTGTGCTGTACAGGGAGGTGGTATGCATAATTACTATTGGACTATAAAGGATTAAAATTCCCACTTGGTCCAGTTCTTGTGACAATTTCTCGACATAAAACTTAGGCCTTATCGGAATTCAGTTTACCCTGTGTTTCAAGGTAATCATTCACTCTGACACAGCCAAAGAGTATGATCTTTTTGCAGTAATGGCCTTCATGTGCAGATACTTGCAAGGCCTAGGCATTCACTCACTGAGTCATGGAGCTAAGCCCTTCTAGAGAAGCCGCCAATTCTGCAGCTACTCAAGAACTTCCCAGCATTTTATGGAATCCGAAGGTTCATTATCATGTTGACAGGAGCTCTCCACTGGTCCCTATCCTGCTACAGATCAGTCCAATCCACACCATCCCATCCTACCTCTCTAAGATCCATTCTAATATTGAAGAAAGCAGTCTTCTGGGATTTGGCACCGTGTATATGTGTATATGTATATGTGCCAAATCCCAGAAGACTGCTTTCTTCATAGTCACCGCCGTGAAAGCCTCAAATCTTACATTCTAATATTGTTCACTCACCTATATCTTGGTCTTCCAAGTGGTCTCTTTCTTTCTAGCTTTCCCACCAATATCCTATATGCATTCCTCATCTCCCCCATTCTTGCTACATGCCCTGCCCACCTCATCCTCCTTGACTTGATCATTCTAATTATACTTGGAGAAGAGTACAAGTTATGAAGCTCTTCATTATGCAGTTTTCTCCAACCTCCTGTCACTTCATCTCTCTTTGGTCCAAATATCCTCCTCAACACCTTGTTCTCAAACACCCTCAGTTCCTTAATGTCAATACCAAGTTTTGCACCTATACAGAACCACAATCAGAATTGTTGTTTGTATATTCTGATTTCTATGTTTTTGGACAGCAGACAAAAACACAAAAGGTTCTGAACTGAATGGTAGCAAGCATTACCTGAGTTCAATCTCCTCTTAATTTCCTCCTGAATCCCAAATATCTGAACTGTGCCACATTTTCAAAACATCTGTTTCCTGTCTTTATGTCAGCATTTTTCCTTGCATTTTGGTGATGAGACAGAAACATATACTTAGTTTTCTCTGTGTTTACTTCTAGACCAACCTCCTTATATGATTCGATTAAAGTTTCTGTGTTTTTCTGTATGGTATCTACATTATCACCCAGTAGATTCACATCATCAGCATAGACCAACAGCTGATGTGTCCCATTTAATTTCAGTCCCACATGGTTTCCCCGGACCTTCCTAATGCCATATCCTAAGACAAAGTTGAAAAGGAGTGGCTCTAAAGCATCTCCTTGTTTTAGACCATTCAGAATAGGGAATTTATCAATCAAGTGTTTACCTATACGGACTTCACTATACACTTTGTTTAAATACATTTTAATCAGCCTAACTAGTTTCATGGGTATCCCAAACTCTATCAGAATATTGTACAATACTTCCCTCCTAACTGAATCATATGCTTTCTTGAAGTCTATGAATAGCTGATGTACTGTCTCATTATACTCCCATTTTTTCTTCAATATCTGATGAATGCAGAAGATCTGATCTGTAGTTGATCTGTTATGTCGAAACCCACACTGATGATCCCCAATAATTTCATCTATATATGGACTTAACCTTGAGAGAAGAATATTGGATAAAATTTTGTATGAAGTTAATAGCAGTGATATCCCCTGATAATTACTACAGTCAGCTTTATCGCCCTTCTTGTGAACTGGTACAGTAATAGACTCCTTCCACTGATCAGGTAATTTTTCCTTATGCCAAATTGAATTAATTAGCCTATGGATCTTAGAATGTAATATTTCGCCTCCTGCTTGAATCAGTTCTGGAATTGACCACTACCTGGCGATTTATACCTTTCCAACTTTGCAGTAGCACTTTCAGCCTCAAAAGGGCTAAGATCAGATACTAACGGCTCAGCTGTGTGGATTTCTGTCTGCCTAACAGCACTGACCCTATGTATGTTCAATAACTGAGAGAAGTAGTTCCTCCACCTATTCAAAATGTTGTGGGAATCTGCAAGCAGATCACCATTCTCATCGTTCACTAAGTTACTGCTAGCTGGTAACCCCTCTTAAAGTCATTTATTCCTCTGTACAGGTCTCTAATGTTCTTGTTCTTACTGTTCATTGCAAACTCGTCAATTTTGTCTTTCAGATATTCCCTCTTTTTGTTCCTGAAATGCCTACTGGTTTCACATCTTATATTGTTCAGATTATCCCCATTTAACTCGCTTGGATCCTGTAAGCATTGCAGTTTGGCTTGTTTCCTTTGGTCTAATAATTTTGAGCGTCCTTCATCAAACCATGGCATATGCTTTTTCAATTTATAATAACCTAGACTCTCCTTGACAGACATTTTGATATTATCTCTAATAGTTTCCAGAGCTCTATTAATATCCACCCCAGTGTCCAAGTTTTCCAAAGCCGCGAACCTATTTGAGATTTCAGCACGATACTGCTCTCTACCCTCTACCTCGTGTAATTTCTTGAGATAATACTTGGTCACAACAGGTTCCAAGGGCAGGCAATATAAATCTTCGTATCCATAAGGTGTATATATTTACCGTCTTTTAGTGCATACAGTTTCACTTGTCACTTCGCACTACATGTTTCTGCATCATTCTGCCATCCTCAGGTGTATCATTCACGTTAAACCATTGCACTGCCTGCCATCAAGTGTTCATTTCTAAAATGATATAAAATGTGTGTTCGTCGTTGTTCAGTAATAAAATTTGTATATTAAAACTTGTTAAGATCTATCATCTTACATGTCGCATATCAAACTCTCGTGTAAAGCCATTCATCTGCTATGGGAGTCGTTCTTCTTATGTTTTAATTGTGTATACTCTGTCTTATGTGGCTGCGTGCGTTGTATTGCTGGACGTATGTGGACATTATAAAGCTTCGTAATGGATGGACTTTCAGCAATTAACTCAGGAAGTAGAGGACGGATAGCGACGTCGTGTGAGCGCCTCTCGATTATCCTCCGGCCGGTCGGGCGAGAAAGATACAGGTTACCCACATTGTTTCGCACTGCTTACTTTTGGATTCGTGGCCTAGTGGACTTGCCAGTAACCTATGCGCATCGCTGCAGCTACTGTGACGCGAGTATATAGCGTTATGTGCCCGTGTTACACATTCAGTCAGTGACGTTACTCCTCGTTCCAAGTGGGCCTGTGCGTTACCCATGTGAAAAGTAAGGAAAATATGTCGGGATAAATCGCAAGCAGGTTAAGACAGACGGGGCCATTTTTTGGCCGGAAACCATAATCTGAGTGCTCGCTGAAGAGAAACTGGATGACATCAGCTCCGAGCTTCAGCACTTTTCTTGAAAACCCCTAGACACCCTGTAGATGAGAGCCGGGTTCAGATATTCATGTTTCAGTTTCAACTTAGCTTTCTTTCTGAGGAGGAATTTAAACGCG